GAATAAAAGCAAAGGAAGTAGTTACTAAATATTATAATAAGGAGGTAACTGTCCGTTAAAAAAAAATGATGAAGGTAATAATGACGATAATAATGTATTGGGTAAAGTGATAAGCGAAAAATGGTAATACAGGTAATACACGGGGTTATTTGATTAAGCAAAAGAAAAAAAAAAACAATAGAATTAACAATAGAGAGGAATCCCCGTAAAAATTGAACGGAAAAAGAAGTAACGGAACCAGCCCACGACCTCATGTATTTTGTTTTTTGATGAAATCCCAAAACAATAAAGTCGTCATAACGCCCTCTTATTAAGATGAATAATATACTGTAATAATAATGCGCAAAAAGGAATATAAGCAAAAAGAAAAAAAGATATATATATGTGGGTAATATATATATTGTCCATATAAAAAAAGAAAATTCGTAGTACGTTTCTTCATAAAAGGCCAAATCCTCTTTGATCAGTAATATAAAAAAAGTAATTAAAGTTTCAGAGTAGTATAAATAGCATTCAACTGACGTTGATCTTCATTATTCCTATCAATCATTTTTTCCCGTGGAATATCTTGTGGTGGTAATTGGAAACCATTATTTTGAGAAGATTGTGGAGGATAGGAAGCGGAGTAAGGTAATTGAGGAGCCGGGAAAGTGAATCTTGAATTTGCATTAGGAATGTTGATTGGTTGCGAACCATTTCCAAAAGGATTATCGGATGGAGGTTGAATATAATTTGAAGGAGGATAGACAGGTAATGAAGAAGTGCTACCGCTAGCATGATGTTGTAAATAATTATGTCTCCCAAAGAAATTTGGAAAATCATCTTCAGTTGTTGAAGGAGAAGATGAAATAGAGGGAGTTGAACAAGCAGATTGGGTATCAAATTGCATAGGTTCAGAAGAATGACGATGTTGATGAGCAGTAGCGTGAGATTGTTGTAATTGCCAAGTATAAGGATTTGGAGAGATTGATCTTTCAATACCAGAATTATCACCGAAACCGTGAGCATGTTGATGATGATGATGATGGTGAGGATGTTGATGATGATGATGAGCAGCAGCATAATGATGAACATGGGCGACACCGTCAACATTTGAAGTTTCAGGATACATTCCTTTCGGTATAACGATACTCTTGAGTTTTTCATCATGACTTGGAATTTGAAGTTTTTCATTTATAACATCAGCCTTAGTATAATAACAAATTAAATGAAGTTTTTGATGAGCAGTAGTTGTTATGCTGAAGGATTGTTTAACGAGACCACCATGTTTATATCTGCACTGTTCAGTAGCAGACATAGATTTCTTTGTGACGGAATGGTAAGATTCACTCGAGTCAGTATCTTCACTTGATAGATCGTGAGGGTTATTAGAGCCACGAGAATTTGATTTACGTTTTGATTCTAATTCTCTATAGGTTAAGAAACTTCCACTGACACGGCTTGCAGACCAACTTTTACCATCAGTCCATCTTCGCATACCAGCCTCACGTTCATCCCATACAAAAACCGAACCTGAACGGATAGAAGATCTTTCTTTTTCACTTAATCTTCGTTGGATACGGGATAAGAAACCTATCCGGCAAGCTTCAAATAATAGAATAGCATCTTGGGGAGATTTAACGAAACCGAAATATGTTTCCATTTTACTTTTTTTTGTGTGAGTGTGTGTGTGAGTGTGAGTGATGTGAGTGTGAGTGATGTGAGAAAAATACGTTTGCTTTTTGCTTTTTACTTTTGTGGAAGAAAAAAAATCTAATTATAAAATTGAAAAAAAATTGAAAAGAGAAGAGATTAGTTTTTCATTCATTCATTCAAAAATAAAAAAAACGATTTTATATAAGGAATGATATGTGGTTAGCCACGTATGGCAATGACGTTTGTCGAAAGCAAGAGCCTTAACCTAATATTTTGAAAGTATACTAATTTGGTAACGATTTTTAAAGACTTTAACGACTTTAAGGAAGGTTAACCAAAGAAGGAAAAGGAAGTTGAGGGTAACTTTTTGATAATATTGATGTCATAAAAGTTTTTCAGTTTCGAGGAATCAAAGAATCAGTTTTCGAGGAATAAGAATCAGTTTCGAGAAATCAGTCGAGACTTTTTTTCGGAGGCTTTTTTGATATTGCCCGGTAGAATCTTTGCTTCGACTCGGCCACAGTGGGCACAGTGACCACAAGTTGTTGAAAAGAACTAATCTTGCTTGAAACATCATATCATAGTGGAGAAAAAAAGATAGAAAGACTTACCAATAATATTGCCAAAAAAAAGGAAGTTTGCCGTCCGTTAAATTTTTTTTTTTGCTATTAAGTTTCTTTTGCTGGTATAATTTTTGCAGTTTAATAGTTATTGTCCTTTGTTCAAAGGTATTTATAAGTTCGAAGGATTATTAAGTATATTTTTTGCGTCTCCGGGAAAGTAAATGAATTTTTTTTATATTCTAAGTTGTATTATTAATAGAAAGTCTACAATTAGTTCCCACTATTGATCAATCAATGACCGAAGAGCAAGAAGAAAAGTGAATGAGTTTAAGAGTTTTTTATAGAGAAGAAAAAAAAAAAAAAAAAGAAAATTTTTTCTATAAAAGTTGGTTTTGAAATATATATTTTTTTTTTATTTATTTATGAAAAATGAAAAGGGGGTTAACGAAAATTTTCGAACGGTGGTGGTTGAAAGGGGGAATGGTAAGAGGGGGATTTAAAGTAGAGTTTGTGGTGCTTATGTAGAAAATATATGATATAAAATAGTGCTTTTTTGTATAAGGGCGTTTTTTTAGTTTTTTAAAGTTTTAAAGTTGATTATAAAAAAAAAAAAAAAAAAAAGTATTTTTTTTTTTTTTGTGTTTGTGTTCGTCCGTATTTTTTTTTTTTTTTTTTTTTTGAATACGATGAGTATAGTTCGACTGAAGAACAAAAGCGGTATATATAGACATGGTTGTGACTATTGTAATTATTTTATACGTATCACTATAAACATTAAATAACATCATAATATATTAATAACCTTAAACTAAAATTACATTATAAGGTCATATATAAAAAAAAAAAAAAAATAAAAAAAAAAAAAAAATTGCGAAACGTATATATAAAAAAAGACTAGTGTCTGTGATACTTTTTGTCAAAGAAAAATTGGTTGCACATCGATTCTTTTTTTGTTATTAGCATTAGCCGGACAGGTAGGTTTGACAAAGAAGGTCGGGCATGTAATTAAAATATTCTAAATATAAAAGATATATTAAGTTTTTTTTTTTTTATATACAGTATCGTTGAAAAATATGCATATTATCTGTATAAGAGGATGAACGGTGCACAACGGTACGAGGATGAATGATGACGCTGATATGCGTTATGCTTTTATATAGCTTTTTTTATAACTTTTTTATAGCTTTAATATAGATTTTATATAGATTTTTATGTAGCTTTTATGTAGATTATGTAGATTTTATGTAGATTTTTATGTAGCTTTTATGTGGAATTTATCTTGCGCTATCATAATCCCTTCACACTCAGTAAGTAAAAAAAGCGGTAAAAAAGTGTGGTCATATTTAATTGTTTGAGGATAAACATTCGTGAGAATAAAAAAGTATTAAAAGTTATTATATTTTAAATAATATTACATCTCCTACACGTTATCTCCCAATTGCGTATGCGTATAAGTCATGGTGATAAATTTCATGATAATGATAAATAACTCGATCAGACACACACACACACATTTCATTTCTATATAGTATAGAAAATTGATAAATTTGATTTGAAAATTTATATAAAGTTATAATATGATGTTATATTATTTATATTTATAAAGTTAAGTTTTTTATTACAAAGTTTTATTATAAGGTTTTATTACAAAGTTTTATTACAAAGTTTTATAAAGTTTTTATTATAAAGTTTTATTATAAAGTTTTATTATAGTTATACAGTATAAAGTTGTAATTTATCAACCAATAATAATTTAGAAATTTAAAAAAAATCACCGATACTTTTTACAAGCACCGATTTAAACTTTGATAAATGCGATTTCGATTACAGCGATCACGAGGATGAAAACATTTCCAAACCGAGTGAATAAAAAGATTCGCTCGCTCAATGCCAACAATTTTCAGATTTAACTATTTACAGTTATAATTACAGTCATAAGTACAGTCATATAATTATAGTCATAAAGTACAGTCATAGTTACAGTCATAGTTACAGTCATAGTTACAGTCATAATTACAGTCATAATTATAGTTATATTTACACAGTTATTTACAGTTTAAAAAATTTTACATACAAATATACATTTTTTTAATTGGCAGTATAATGATAGTATTCTGAGTTTTGCATGCATTATTATTCGAATCATCAAGTAAAGTATACATCAAAGTAAAGTATACATCAAAGTAAAGTATACATCAAAGTAACGTATACATCAAAGTAATACATCAAGTAAGTAATACATCAAGTAAAGTAATACATCAAGTAAAAATAAATACATCAAGTATCGGTAAAAATTTTTATTTACAATTGATCCAAACTCGGGATGCAGAAAAAGATCCAACTTGGGTTACGGTAAAATAGGGGAAAAAAAAAACTTTAATATGTTGATAATGATATCATTTTTTTATCTTTAACATTTGACTTTTTTTTCTTTTCACGATTTGTTAACCTTTTTGTCAAACGCCATTTTTTAAGTTTTTCATATATTTATTTTTTTTATTATTTTTTACTTTATTTTTATTTATTTATTGAAAATCTTAAAAATGCCTATGTATAGTCATTAAAGTCATTTAGAATTTAACCTTTATAAGCTTAAAAAGAAAAGAATTAATAATAATTGATGAGAACAAACCATTATACGTATAAAATTACGTATAAATCATTATAATCCCATTATAATAAATTTATTATAAACTATTATAAAACAATCATAAGCCATTATTAAACGGATAAACAATATTATCGAAAGCATTTACCGAATCCGGACATAGTTAAATTACGAAGATAGCCAAAACCGCCAACTTTAAATTAGTCAAAAAAATAAAATACATTATCGGTATGTAAGGTAATATAGCAGATACGGTAATAATATACATTTAGCGTACGTACGTACGTATGTACAAAAGATAAAAATGATAAAAAAAGAGATAAAAATAACGATAAAAATAAACTTATACAATTATATGTATAGCTTTAATTTCTTACATATTTTAGACATATTTTTAAACATATTTTTAAACATAATTTTAAACATAATTTTTTAAACATATTTTTAATTATCAAAAAGAATGTTAAACAAGGTGATCCGTTTTTTTTTTCAAACTGTATACATGACTATAATACATCGCATAAAAATAATTGGTTTATATATGTCAGATGTTTATCGTTATTACAGATTACAGCTGCTTATCGCTATTACATCTTTATTAACAAATTAATTCCGATCACGTCAAAATAAAATTGATGAAATAATCAAAAGGAAAATTTTAATTGTTTGATCAATGACAGGTGATTCAACACCGTTTTTAATGTTACTGTGCATGCTGATTTCTTTATTCTTACCCTTGTATGATGCTTTGTATGATACCTTGTACTATACCTTGTGTTATACCTTTTATGATTTTATGATGTATATATGCTACCTATTCATGGAACCAATTATCTGAATGGAATCTTCCTTAGGTTTTATATATTTTAATATTTTTATATATATTTAAAAAAAAATCCAAAACTTTTCTGTTACGCAACTCTCTTTCCTGTGATTCGATTTTCCTTATTTGTAATTATTGAATGTATTAAAATTAACATATTTAATATATTTTTTGTAACCCAAAAATCGATTTTTATTCCTTTTTCTAGAAAATGAAACTTTTTTTTTTTTTTTTAATTTAGTTAATCCTTAAGAATTACAGAATTATAAAATTTCTAACTTTTGTTTTTCATTTTTAAGATTTTAATAAAGTGTGTAACTTTCGTCCAACTGGCTTTCTCAAAAAATATTTTTAATTGTTTATTCTTTCGTTATGATTGATATATCCGAAATTTAATACAGTAATACAGTAATAACGACAATATATACGGTAATATATAAAGTAATATATACATTAATACGTACTGTGCGTAATACTGTAATATTGTAATATTGTAATATATATATACTTTTGTTATACTACTTACCTACCCATTACGTACTATACTTTACCTGTTTTCTTTAGTCCTTTTATTTATTATTAATTAATCTTTATTATTTTTATTTATTTATTTATTATCCTTATTTATTATTTAGCTTTTTTTTTTTTTTTTTTTTACGTTTTTATCTTTGTAATTCCTTATTTATTTTTATATATCTTTATTTACTTTTATAGTTGCAAGTTATTTTTATACTCATGCTTATACTCATATTTGCACTCATATTACACTCATATTTACACACTTATTTATACTCTTATTTATACTCATGCTTATATTTATATTCGTGTTTATTACTCATATCATATGTCTCATATGTCCCAGATGTCCCAAATGTCTCAAGTATCTCCCAAATATCTTAAATAGTTCAATTAGTAAAGTTAACAATGCGTAATTTTTTTTTTCTTCTGTTTGAAGGTTAATTTCTTGCATTTCAATCTCATGATCAAAAGGGCGTTGTGTGCTTATGTATAAA